TATCAGAATTACACCTGACTTCTCCATGGAAACTCTGAAAGCCAGAAGAAGGTCCTGGATAGATATTCTACAAACACTAAGAAACCACAGATGCCAGGCCAGAATAATAAACCAGTAGGGTTTTCATCCACTATAGATGGAGAAAACAAGATACAATACATATTCACTAATCCAGCCCTACAGAAAGGACTGGAGGGAAACTCCAATGTAAGGAAGTTAACTACACTCACAAAAACATAGGCAATAGATAATCCCACTTTACTTACAGCCAAAAGAAACAGCAGGGTAAATCCACATACAATATCACCACCACATACAAATTAAAAAAAAAAAAGAACACGAATTAATGCTCCATGGTCCTGAATTTCCCTCAATAGTAATGGTCTTCACTTGCCTATAAAAAGACACAGGCTAATAGGTACCCATGCTCATAAAAGAAACATTACTAAAACTCAAATCACACATAAGACCCCACACATTTATTGTGGGAGACTTCAACTCCCCACTCTCACTGCTAGACAGGAACACCAGACAGAAACTTAACAAATAGACAAAGGAACTAACAGAAGTTATGACTCAATTGGGATTAACAATTCTATTATCTATAGTATATTCCATCTGAACACAAAGGATATACTTTCTTCTCAGTGCCACATGGAACCTTCTCTAAAATCCTCCACATACTCGGCAACCTAGCAAACCTCAACAGTTACAAAAAAAATTGGAATAAGCTTCTGGATCTTATCAGACCACCATGATTTAAAATTAGAAGAGGGGGGAGGGAGCTATGAGAATGAGAAGGGAAGAAGAGGAAGGATGCAGAGGTCATGAGGGAGCAGAAAGGTTGAGTCAGGGGAAGAATAAAAGAAAGAGTATGTGATAGGTAAGGTTTTAGTTGGGGGGGTGGTAGGGGAGGACTGGAGGGAGAAGGGAACTGGGATTGTCATGTAAATCAATCTTGTTTCTAATTCAAATAAAAATGATAAAAAGATTACAGCAATATAACTATATACACACATATATGTGAATTTCTAAAACAGAGGTATTAGAAGTGCCTTAATCTAAGGTAGAACTGTATAGTGCAACATGATAGAAATACACTAAATTGTGTCAAAAGACAAAGTATCTTAAAGATATGTAAAAGCATATCTACATAGAAAATGATAAGGGTATTTATTCACCAAACATCCTGAATAGAAACAATACCTTGCCCAGTATGACAAAATGAGATATACAAATTATCCAAGATAGGAATACAACTTGATTATACATAAGTCACATCAAATGAGAATCCATAACAATGTAAGTTGTCTATAGCTAACAATTACTAAGGCAAATCACAAGAAGATATATATCATCTATCTATATCCCATCCTAACCACATCTTTCCCATCCAAACCCTGAACTCATCTAAAAGAGATACCCAATTCTGAACACCTCCTTCCAAACCCAACCCTAAACAACTGAAAACCAACCCTAAACAGGTGTAAATTATCCCTATTGTCAACAGTAGGGAAAAGGGGGCATGGTATTCTTAGAATTACCTCCTGCTGAAATGGGACAATGATAATCTCATGGGATCCTGTAGGAAGAAAGACTTAGAGTAAGGAAAGTCTTGAGCAGATTAGCTATAACATTTGTACCTAGTCTTTTGTTCGGTGGGGGATGCTTGACTGAAGTTCTTATCTGAAGCTCTGGCCAAGTGTAATAAGAAGGCACACCATTTCAGCTAGCTAGTCCAGAGTTGTGTAGAGCAATATAGTCCCGAACCGGTTTTAGGGTGGCAATTGTCAGTTCAAAGACATCAAGTTGAATCAAGTGGGATTGATGAAGTGGGGTCCCATTTCCTTTTGGGATAGTTCAAAGATTGCCAATAAGTAATCTTTGTTCAATGTGGGGGGATTAAACATTTACGTCAACACAGAAATTTCAACTTTTATAGGTATGCATACCAGGAAAAAAGATAATAAATATAAGGGAAATTAGGCTTTCAGAGAAAGAACCGAGTATAGACAAATGACAGTCCCTAGATTTTGTTTTGTCTTACATCAATTTGCTTCTTGATATAATAGAGAAATTCTTAATTGTAACAACCTGCAGCACACAGGGATGTGGAGCAGGGGTGGGGGGTGGAGGGTGGGGCAAGCTCAGGAGAACCATGCTGCTGAGCTGGGAGACCCAGGTACCTCAGAGACTCAGGGACTCTGGGGGCATGGGGCAAAAGACAGAGCTGTGGTAGTGAGTGCTCGCCTTGCTGGGAAGGGCTGGGAATTTCTCACTTCTGACACCAGATGTAGTCAGAAGATATCCATACACAGGATGTGGGTATTGTTAGTTAACTTTATTGAGGGGAAATCACTTACATGAGAAACCCATAGCCCAGGTTAGCACTCTGAGCACCCAGTCTCAGCAGCTCTCTGAGACCCCACCAGAACCCTGAGAGAGGAGAAGTACCCCTCTCCTCAGTCTTTTATCCCTCATGTTCTTTACACACCTGTGCCCACACCCAAGTGAGCGTGGTCAGTGCTATAGGTACCTAGAGATCTCTCTGTACACTCTGAGTTTTCATCTTCAGTGTAAACACATATTATTGATGGATTTTAATGATAATTTTAGCACCTCAGGAGTGGAACAGCAACTGCAGATGGCAGGTCACAGAGCATCTGTTTCTCATGAAGGCTTTGGCACATTCCCTGTCCTCCCTTTAAAATCTTGGGAACTGTTAAATATGTCTTTTGGACTTGCTACAAATCCACCTCCTGTGTGTGTAGTCCCTTGCACTGCTGATCCCGAAGCTACTCAGGTAGCTACATTCTCCTTGTCCTCGGATGGGAACCCTGAAGGAAAACAAACAAACAAATGAAAAAAATCTGCACAGGCCAACATTGATGCAAGCATCTGAACTAGTTTTGCACCTGCCATCTTTTACATACTCAGCTTTCAATTTGAGCAACAAATCTGTAGAGAGAGAGATCTCTAGGTACCTGTGGCACTGACCATGCCCATTTGTGTATGGCCACAGGTGCATTCAGGGCTTGTGGGATAAAGGACTGAGGAGAGTTCCAGTCAGGTCTCAGAGAGCTGCTGAGACTGGGCACTCGGAGCACTAGCCTAGGCTATCATTTCTCATGTAAGTGATTTTCCCTCAATAAAGTTTGTGTCACAGGCCTTTAACCCTAGCACTTGGGAGACAGAGGCAGGCAGATATCTGTGAGTTCAAGGCCAGCCTGGACTACAGAGTAACTTTCTGGACAGGCTCCAAAGCAATACAGAGAAACCCTGTCTTGAAAAACAAAGAGAAAAAAAAAGAAGAAAAAAGAAAAGAAAAGAAAAAGTTAACCAACAATACCCATATCCCATGTACTGATATCTTCCCCTACACATATCTTTGTCATTTGTCAGTGTTGACCCTGTAAAGTGTGTATAAGGCATTTGACTGGTGCTTGCTACCATGTTCAAATGGCCTGTTGTCATGTGTGGCTTCACTGAGAGTGATTTTTAATTCTGTCTTGGAGCATTTTACTCATGTATAAAGGTGGGGCAAAACCCACGTAGTAAAATTCTGAAAGGTCTTTAATCATCACACGACTGGGTCTGTGTTTTGTGGTTCCAGTAAATGGCTCCATTCAAAATGGCTATTCTCATTTCCAAGAGCTGTAGTGATATAATATTTATGACTTATTAAAGCTTGCATGGCATTCCAGAAAGCAAAGTCAGTCACAAGCCATAGAAGCCAGGCACACACCTTTAATCCCAGCAGCCAGATGCTATGAGGTGGTGATACACACCTTTAATCAGCAGATGGTGGGAGGGGGGGATACCCCCCTTTAATCCTACCACCCATTATAAAGAGGGAGACAGATCTCTTTGAGTTCTACGCTGATACATGAGATTGAATCAATCTAAAAGAGTAACAGATCACACCCCTTTAATTGAAGCACTAGAGGGGTATAAACGATAGAAGCAGGGTATTAGGTCTTAGTATTCAGTCACACTGAAGATAGAAACATTTATTCTCCAGCCATTTTTAGGAGCGGTTCTGAGGCTTGGTGAGAGCTTGTGGAGATAGGGTCAGCCCATGCAGCCTGCCGGTAAAAGTAAGAAGCTAGGGGCTGGCTGCTTTGCTTCCCTGACCATCAGCTTGAGGTTTGAACCCCAATATCTGTCTCTGGGTCTTTTATTTTTCATGTTACGAAGAGCTGTCTCAGAGCTCATTGATGATGAGACTTTAGAGGAAGTCCCCAATGCTCCTGGAGTCTCTGCTTCTGTGATAGGCACAGCTGTGCACACAGTGAACTGACAAGTCTTATCCCAGGAGTTCTGCAGTGACTTCCTGGGGTTTCAGAGCCCTCACTGCCCATCCTAGTTTCTGCTGACATCTGACAAGTGTGTTTCTCATCAAGGAAATGTTTTCAGTTGGTGATGGAGAAGACTACATCCACCCCAGATGCCATCATCATGTGAAAGATTTCAGGTGAAATCACACTAAGTGAAAGCTTTGGAAATGATAACAAATGGGAGAACATCCAAAGTATTTAAATTTGTAAGGACGTGCAGTTTCCTGGTTATTGGCTCTGCATGTAAGTATGCACCCTGCCTCTGATCTACAACTCCACTTGGAAGGCTTATGTTATTTCCTTCCCAGTATTGTTGGCTTCAAATATCATAGCTATTCATCTCTTATAGACACACACACACACACACACACACACACACACACACAGAGAGAGAGAGAGAGAGAGAGAGAGAGAGAGAGAGAGAGACAGAGAGAGAGAGAGAGATGAGCAGAGTAGAAGGAAAAGTGTGCTGAAAACATACATGTTGTTATATTGAGTGTTGTCTGTCCACATCCAGTGCTGCTCTGGTGACTTCCTGTGCAGCCCGATCCAGTGGTCAGAATCCCCCTTGTATCTCTTCAGGAAATTCTGCCATAAAACACAGAAAGCTAATACATGTATCTCTGAGCTATAGATGACCATTGGGTGTCTCCAACCTACAGCCTCCTCTAGGGATGGCAGCTGAGAGTCATTGATTATGGAGCCATAATAACCCTCAGTTCTCAGTGGATGTATCCTACGTGTATAAACCTAAGTACATTGATGACCAGACATCCCATTGCAGCTGATTAAGAATATCCTTGGAGTTTTTAACAGATGCCATTTTTGTATACAATATGTAAATTCTCAGCGGGAACAGGACCACTAGTTATCTTAGTAGATTGTATATTTGCCCCGGCATGTTTTGCTATGAGCACTACATGAGAGCATGACTCTAGAATGTCTCAAGAATCCAACCAGAAGCAGTAACATTAGCAAATGGTGTGTACTAATGTGCTCCCCATATGCCCCACACACCCCATCTGCCTGGAGTGGGCTCTTCCTCACGCTTCAGCTTTAAGGTCTCTATCTGAAGGCAAAACACATTCAACAGAACAAACAACAAACCAATCCTGACCATTTCTTACCAGCTCCTCTATGCTCTCAAATACAGCTAGATGGGCCTCTAGTTCCATGCAGGAGGTCTGGCTGAATGTCCAGTTTCTCATGTCTTCAGAAAAATAAAAACATTGACTTCCAAATCCAATCCAGTCTTTTGGGCAGGTGTCATAGGAAGGTCCACACTTCTCTGTGATTAGTCTCCCTAAAATGTTAACAGTGCCAAGAAATATAATAAGAACATTTATGTGTCTGGTCCCTTTGGAAGCATCTAAATCTCAATGATAAGGGGTGTCCTTGAACTGTACTTTCATAACTGATCTCTAGGAGAACCCTCCTATCATGCTGGTTCCCAATCCAGGGCTTTCCAGTGAGCTCTAAGGAAGTGCTTTTATTTTCTTCTTTGTATTTTGTGTTTGAAACAGAATCTCGCTATTTCCACTGGCCAGGCCTGGAATTCAGTCTGTGGACTCTACTTGTACTGGCTGTGTCCTGAGGGTTGGGACTAAAGATTTCCCTGTGAGGAAATAATTTCTAGTCTATCAGCTCCTTTGGATTCTTTCTTGTTCCTGAAGTCCTGTAGCTTCCTTTCCCATAATCCTCATTCACATTTGCTCTTTCTCTTGACTAGAAAAACTCCTTACTTGTTTAGATTTTACTATAGAGAAATGACAGCCTTTGAAATATGGCACATTTGAAATAGCTCTTAATTGCTAGAATTTTTATCATGGGCTTCCTATCATTCTATCACACACATATTAAATGTATATAATCACATGCTGGCTCTTATTAGAGTCTGTCAGAATGATTGTCAAGAGGAAATCTGATAACAATACTGGGTAATGGTCAGACTTAGCTTACATTCCAGTACTTGGGAGGCAGAGGCAGCCAGATCTCTGTGAGTCTAAAGCCACCATTTTTAGAAGCATGTGCAGAAATAGAAACACTTATTTACTGCTGGTGTGAGTACAAACTGATACAGCCAGTATGGAGGTTCCTCAGAAAATGTAAAAATAAACTTGCCATGTGACCCAGTCTGTTATTCTTGGGTATGTAAGAAGAGAATTCCACATCCTACCACAGAGACACTTTGCACCAATGGTTATTGCTCCCCTATTTACAATAGTTAGGAAATGGACCTGACCTATATGTCAATCAACTGATGGATAGACAGTGAAAATGTGTTACATGTACAAAACTGAATGTTATTCAGCAGCAAATGAATAATGAAACATTTAGTAAAGTGTGTGGCCTAGGAAAGTATGATATTGAGTGATGTCACCCAAACTCAGAAAGAAAGAGATCCATATACTCTCTCACATGCAATCTGAGACTGTGATGTAGAGTGTGAACAGCTGGGACTGTGCATGGTGTAACACATAGAAAGGAGGCCAAGGAAGAGAGATGTAAGGTGATGGGAAGGACAGCGTGCAAAGGGACCAAAAATTATGAAAAATTATGAATAACAATGTTTTTCTAGTTTTAACGCTGCCATAGTTTTTCTTTTCTGTGGCAGATAAGTGCATAAAAATGTGGTTGACAGTGAAGGTCTAACACCATAACCAAAGATCCATGGCTTTTGAAATGCTTTTCTAGCTGTGTGGAAGTTTCATGAGATACATAGGGCTTGGGATTTGACAAAAGTTGGAGTGGCTATGCTAATGAAGATGCGTGATGTGTTCATTAATGAGTCCATTAAAATAAAGTAACGTGTGTGTGTGTGTGTGTGTGTGTGTGTGTGTGTGTTTGTGTATGTGCAGGAATATGTGTGTAAGAAGCTATGAATGCAGCAAGGGTTCAGAGCACAGCTTAGAAGAATAAGAGACATTTTCTTTCATCCCTTCACCTTTTTCTTCCTTCAGCAGGTCAGAAGGAAACTGCTGCTGTTTCAGTGCTCTACTGAGTCATAGAAACAAATGACTTGATTAGAAATATTAAATACGAATAACGATTGCACAGTTTATTTTAGGGGATGAGAATTTGTTGTAGTTGTCCCAGTTCCTATACCCAGCACCACGAGGCTTCAGTGAAAGAGACAAATGCAATGGGCAGTGAGAGTGACTGTTGCTTCTTTTTATCTGAGTCTTTTCAGGGCTACATAATAGTTTAGGTTACAATGACTAAGACTAGTTTGCAAGTGCTTGTCCTGTTTTGATATATGTGTATTATTATTTGGTGTGACTAAAGTTGATTTCATATAACAATGTTGGGTGGTGGTGGTTCACACCTTTAATCCCAGTACTTGGAAAGAAGAGGCAGCTGGATCCCCAAGTTCAAAGCAGTTTCAAGACAGCCAGGACTACATAGAGAAACCCTGTCTCATATATATATGAAGTTGTATATGACTTTATCACAGTATTCAAAGCAATCTACAACTAAAAGCTAAGGAATAACATATTCTGAAACTTTCTAATTCATATTTTCAGATCATGGTGAAGATGTTGACTGAAACCATGGGTCAGGGGGGTGGAGGGTTCTCTACCTTCCTCCACCTTGTTGCTCTTCACTGTTCTCTCTTCCCTCAGCTGTAGAAATCTCCTTGAGAGTCTCCTTTCGAGTTTTCCTCTCCTTATTCTCTGTGTTGAAAAGTTCTCCCA